AATCTCGGATGTAATATAATTCAGTGATTGTAATGTTTATGCATTGCAGAAAAAAGTTGAATATCTGAAAAAAACTGCTCAAATTCTGAAAGACCAGTTTTCAGGAGATATTCCACCTAGTGTAGAGGAATTATGTAAACTACCTGGAGTTGGTCCAAAAATGGCATATCTGGCCATGGCCATAGCATGGAAGCAAACTGTGGGTATCGCAGTTGACACTCATGTTCACCGGATAGCCAACCGTATAGGATGGGTGAAAAAAACGACAAAAAATCCAGAAGACACGAGGAAGGCATTAGAAAGTTGGCTACCGAGGTGAGATAAAGGATGAGAATGATTATGTGTATATGTAACTAGAACAGAAGTAATTAGTGTTTTGTAAATAATTAGAGTATATGAAAATACAATGGCTTTTACAACTTTATTTTGTATTAAATTTATATACTTTTATTATTATTATTATGGAAATGTTTCACATAATAAGTTAATCATCAACTGTTGCTTAAAAATTCAGAATGATGCTACAGTTGCTCATTTACTATAGTTTTGATATAATACACTTGAAGTATATATAAGTCATTATACTTATTAGTTATAAGAACTGTATATTTTATAATAGGTTGATACAAGAGGAGTATGTTTAATACCCAATACTTTTAAACTGGCTTTTCTATAAAACTTGAAACATATAGATAAAATATGTGTTTAGTAGATATAAAACTAATAAAAAAACAGGGTTGTAGATAATATTATATAGAATATGGTAAAAATATAAAGAAACAAAGAAATTAGACATTTTAAGCATGTGTGTTTTTGTTAGTTAGTTTTATTATTTTGAGCCTCCTACAACAAAGAGTGCAATTCAAATAAATGCACAGTTTTCCTAAGAAAACCTAAATGGATTATGGAAGCGAATCGTGAAGAAATGCAATATTGACATAAATACTGTAATCATACAAAAGCCAGGTATTACAGCCAAGAACCTTATTACTAACAATTACCTCAATGAAAATAAAAACAATGGAGTAATTATAAAATCAAATGTAGTTATGTAAACACTTTTATACTGGAGATATCGGAAGAGAAGTGAACCTCAGACTTAAGAAAAGTCTTCAAGGCCCTCACCTGCTTTTAAATATCTCAAAAACAAAACAAAACACATCATTGGAAACAATGTCAGAATCATCAGAAGAGAATAAAACATCATTAAAAATAAAATAACTGAAGCACTATTGATAAAGTCATCAGAACCAAGGCTAAATACACATCTAGGAACCTTCGTTATTTATATTAATATTTTATCCACCTCATTTTACTAAAAAAGCGAATTTAACACCAACTGTAAACTTTTCTTTACAATCGCGAGTCTGTAATATTCTTTCAAATTCAACTGTTTTCTTTAATGTAATCCTTACCTGATGATGACTCAATACCATAGGTCGTAACATTATAATTATCAAAATTAGAGCTTGCCTGCTGTTAAAGTTGCTGTTATTTTATTTTGAATTAAAATTTACACTTAATAAAACAAACCTTTTTTTGTCTTGATCAAGCTGTATTTGTCAAGTAAAAATTTTGTTGTTTAAAATTTAAAACATTGTAAGTTTTTAAGAAATGTTGATATCACTCCAGAATATCATCACTGAGTAATATGGTTCATCCAGAATATTATCACTGAGTAATATGGTTCATCCAGAATATCATCACTGAGTAATATGGTTCATCCAGAATATTATCACTGAGTAATATGGTTCATCCAAAATATCATCACTGAGTAATATGGTTCATCCAGAATATTATCACTGAGTAATATGGTTCATCCAGAATATCATCACTGAGTTAATATGGTTCATCCACTCAGTGATGATATTCTAATATGGTTCATCCAGAATATTATCACTGAGTAATATGGTTCATCCAGAATATCATCACTGAATAATATGGTTCATCTAGAATATTATCACTGAGTAATATGGTTCATCT